AGCCTTCAAGCCGAGCTCGGCCGGGCTAAGGCTTCCCTTGAGATGGCCAACGCTGATAATAACAGGCTGCTGGGTCAACTGAATGCAGCCGAGAAAAAACAGAGGGAGCTCCAGGCCGAGGTGGACATCCAGAAGAAGGCCAAGAGGAAAGCTTACCGGGCTGCCAACAACGCCGGCTTCAACGAGGCCGAGCAAAGCTACAAGAAGCAGGTCTTTGCAACCCAAGACATCTATTTTAAGGCCGGTTGGAGAATCCGTCCCAAACCTCCCACTGTTCTTGGTGTTCTTCGTCTTCCTGAAGAACATTGGAGAACTGGGGCGAACCGGGCTCCTGGTCTTGCTTTGATCTAAAAAACCAATGAAACCGAGCAAATAACAAGTTTGTCTCAACCCTAGCAAAAACCGAGATAACAAAAGGACTTGGTCGCTCATCCGGGCTAACAACTGGTCTGCTAGGGCGACCGGGCTCCTTAGATAGATTAGAAAACCGGGGTGGTTTGGCACTCTTAATGACCGAGCTAAAATCCAGCTCCTTTTGCACAACCGCGCTCACACTTAAACTTGCCATCCTTTTCCTGCAGAGTCCAAGGGGACCACTGTCGTTCCTGAGTCTCTCAGAACCGAGCAGCAACCAATTACCAGTGCCAAACCACTCAACCGGGCTAAACCAAGCCGGCCAAAAATGGGGAAATTCCGCTTCCTAGTGGATACTCCGGCTGCGCTGGCTGCGTTCAGAGAGGAGTACGGCGTCCCAGCCGATGTCCATTTGGATCTCGCAGAAGAGGAGACCACACCTTGGGGTAGGGAGGAGTGTCCCTTCACCGTACTGTCCATTGTCGAGGGGGGCCTCCGTTTCCTGCTCAACCCTCTTATAACCGAGTTCCTCCGCCGCACCGGGCTGGCACCCACACAGGTGTCCACCAACACTTATAGAATAATCAACGGCGTTCACGAGTTGAACAATCGGCTAGGCATCAACTTAGGTCTGGCCGAGATACTGAGGCAATACACGATGGGCCACACCGGTGATGGCCTAACTTACTACTTGAAAATAAGACCGGGCAAGGAAAAAATCATAACCGGCACCCCGGATAAAGACATGCACGACGACGATTTTTTCTGGGTGTCCGGCAATTATGAAACAGCCGAGGTGCCGGACTGGTTTATAAACAAAGGCTTCGGTTCTTCATGTAAGCCGCTCAAACTTGCTCGGTTAGTCTAACTCTTTACTTTGCCACTAACCGGTTTTCCTGTTTCCTTGCAGCAATCCAAGCCTTACAAGCCAACTACCAATTTCCAAACGTTGAGGCAATTCGGACCGTGCTTCGGTATCCCCACCTAGATTGCAACGACTTACTTGGCTACACCCCGACTTACAGATATTCTGCTCCGCGCCGGAGTAGAGTAACTGACTTCCTCAGAGCTCCTTCGCCACCTCCAGATCCAACCCTACCAGACGTTCCTCTCATCCGCCTGACCGAGGAGCAAGAGATGGCCAAACGCAGCAGAATCAAGAATCTTCTCACCACCACATCCGCCGAGCTGCCAAGCGTTGTAACCCGGTCGCCAGCCGCTGGTCAATCCAGCAGCGCTGTGGTCGCCCTTGCCTCCCAATCCGCCGGGCAATCCAGCCGAGAACCCTCTGCACGGCGCGCCGGGAAAAGAGCTCGGGCAGACCCGTCCGCCGAGCTAGTCACCGAGCTTACCACCGAGCACCCAACAGACGCGCCCGCCCCCGTGCCGGCCTGGCGCCCACATTTGAAGCACCGGGGTCAGGACATCCCGGCAACGGCTTCTATCAAAGCTGACAAAGAGCATTTGCTCGCCTTTGATCTGACCAAGGCCCTGCTGCTACCGAGCGACGTGGTCGGCAGCGACCACGTCCCAGACACCCGGTTGGTCAAATCGTCGGTGAAGTCCATGGCCAGGGTAAGTGGATGTTGCTTTGAAAAATTTCATAAGTGTTTGTTCGGTTTCCTTTCTGCTCGGTCTCCTTTCTGATCAACTTTGCTTCTTTGTGCAGGCCATTCAAAAACAACACTTGGTTTTGGAGCGCATCCACCGGCTTAGGCAGAAAGCCAACGACACTGCCAGCCAGGTTGAAAGCCTTCAAGCCGAGCTCGGCCGGGCTAAAGCTTCTCTCGAGATGGCCAACAATGATAATAACAGGCTGCTCGGTCAACTGAATGCAGCCGAGAAAAAACAAAACGAGCTCCAGGCCGAGGTTGACACTTTGAAGAAGGCGAAGAAGCCGAGCTCGGCCGGGCTAAGGCTTCCCTTGAGATGGCCAACGCTGATAATAACAGGCTGCTGGGTCAACTGAATGCAGCCGAGAAAAAACAAAGGGAGCTCCAGGCCGAGGTGGACATCCAGAAGAAGGCCAAGAGGAAAGCTTGCCGGGCTGCCAACAATGCCGGCTTCAACGAGGCCGAGCAAAGCTACAAGAAGCAGGTCTTTGCAACCCAAGACATCTATTTTAAGGCCGGTTGGAAGTCCGCCTGCGAACACCTCGGCCAAAGTTCTGACACCGACGTATTTGCCAACCCTCCTCCAGCTTCTCTACCGATCTACCTTGTGCCATATGCGAACGATGTTTTCAGCGCTTTACAGGCTGAGGCCGAGGAGGGACTTGAAGATGGGGACGGGGAGACGGATTCTGAGGAAGAAGAGGCCGAGGTGGCTGAGTAGCCCGGCAACGATGAGCCCGGCGCCCAAGAAGCAAGCCAAGCTGTTGACCTTGATGCTGATGCTGCCGAGGATGCGTTCACCAATCTTTCCCCCCTAGTTTAGGTTTCATTTTCTTTGTTTTTGCATTTTTGCTTCCAACTCTTTTAATGTAACCGGGCTCTGTCCCCTCCGTTTGTAATGAATTTCTTATCAATGTTATCAATGAAAATTCAAATTTTTGCAAGTGTATGCACGGTTGTAATCAGTTCTGTCTTCAGCAAAACATCTCGGTATAACTTATCGAACCGGAATACATAACACGGTCTAAGCACTTCAGCAGAACAATACAAATTCATGAACCGAAATAACCACTTCGGCTGTAACTAGGTCGAACAAATCAACGCTTCCAACCGGAGTACATCATCTCGGTTGGGAATCCAAAGTTTGGACAAGACACCAACTCTTCTAACCGGAGTACATCACCTCGGTCGGGAATCCAAAGTTGGACAAGATACCAACTCTTCCAACCGGAGTACATCCGGAATACACCATCTCGGTTGTGAATCCTAAATTGGACAAGACACCAACTCTTCCAACCAGAGTACAACATCTCGGTTGGGAATTAAAAAGTTGGACAAAACACCAACTCTTCCAACCGGAGTACATCATCTCGGTTGGAAATTCTAAGTTGGACAAGACACCAACTCTTCCAACCGGAGTACATCACCTCGGTTGGGAATCCAAAGTTGGACAAGACACCAACTCTTCCAACCGGAGTACATCATCTCGGTTGGGAATCCAAAGTTGGACAAAACACCAACTCTTCCAACCGGAGTACATCATCTCGGTTGGGAATTCTAAGTTGGACAAGGCACCAACTCTTCCAACTGGAGTACATCACCTCGGTTGGGAATCCAAAGTTGGACAAAACACCAACTCTTCCAACCGGAGTACATCATCTCGGTTGGGAATCCAAAGTTGGACAAAACACCAACTCTTTCAACCGGAGTACATCATCTCGGTCCGTACACATTAAAACAAAACACCAACTCTTCCAACCGGAGTACACCATCTACCAGTTGTCACTTTCATTAGGAGCTAATATTAAATGGCTTTTCCTAGCTAAATATTAATGTCTACTTCTCAAAAATGAGACAAAATTGAGCTCTAGATATATATGGCTGATTTGATTGGCTTAATGAGATCTGAAGTCATTTCAATTTTTAACAAAATTAAGATTTACTTCAAGATAAACTCTCACTAATATTATAGCATTAATATTCTACAACCTCATTGTATATTTGTCTTGATCCAAAGTCTTATCCATTGACTATCAATAGGATTTTGTCATTTTAAAAGCAATCTTATGCTAAATGACTTTGAACCCCCATCTATCAACCTTGAAAGCTTTATTATTTTGCTCATTAAACTAAAAATATTTATTAATTAAAAATTGATAGATCAAAAAGCTCTCCTCCCCTCCCATCTCCGATTATTATATTTTGATTTGAAAGTAATTGTTATATTTTGATTTAAAAGTAATCAATCGATGTCATGCATCTCTAAGAGGGCTAGATCCACCCAAGTACAAGAGTGATCCCACATGACGGTCAGACACTAGGACATAGAACCCAAACACTTTTGACAAGAAATCCAAGCCCCTACCACCTCATTACAAGTTTTACTATTTAGTATTTTTGCTATAATGATACCCAAAAAATGTCAAAACTTTGGCTCACTCACTTAAGCGAGCTTGGAAAAGCTGAAAATTGTAGCCATGTACATGAAATTAAGGGCAATGCTGACTAACACTTGAATTTGACAGAGTTTGATTCACATCTCCATCCTTAGTTCATTGCAAAATCAATAAAAAGGCCTTGGCAAATATATTCAATACATATTGGGGAATTCTATTCATTGAGTTAGCAGTGTTCACAGTAAACTTAGAGAATTTAAAACATACAAATTTATGAAATCAAATGCTAACAATATATAACATACATAATATGAAGAAACTCGCATTGTAAGCTACTATCAATGCGTTGTTCCTTGCTACCAGCAGGCTACTTGGTGTTCAACTCTCAGCTTTGATTCTGGAGAAAAATCAAATAACTAATAGTGAACAGCATCCTCTTGATATCTAAAAAGAGGATATACATGTACAACTAAAAAAAAAAAAAAGAGAGTGACAAAATTGGGACAAACTGAAGATTGTAGAGGAAAAATTTCATTCATATTAAAATTATG